CCGGATGGGTGTCGGTGGGGTTTAGGGCACGTGTGACGACCCACTTGAAACATTCGTTGTCGTCGTTGTTCATGTTGATAATTGCCTTTTTGCTTGTTATGGATTTAGGTAAGGGTTCGTGCTTTTTTTCTCGAAGTGGACGGAATTCTCCGATGTGGATTTCTAACCGGGTGACTCTTCGTAGTCTCCATCCGCTACCCTTCCTCTGGTATTCCGAGAAGGACTTTAGCATCTTTTCCCTCATAATGCTCTGGGCCTCCTCCGTATCATCTGTACCAATGAGTTTGTGGTTCTTTGATCCGAAGTGGGCGATGACGTTGTTTCTAGCTTCCCCAGTTTTTGGGTCGCTTCTTACCATTTCGCAAGCTAGGGACATTCTTACGTTTCTGGGTTCAGTATCCGAGTTTATGAGTGTTTTAGCCTCATCTTCCGTGATGATTAGGAAGTAGGATGGTTCGTAGGCGCCATTTGGGGTGATGACGTATTTCCTTACCTTTTTGTTGATGGCGTATTTGGTCAGGATGGGTTTAAGGATTTCCCTTGGTTTTCCCAGATTTTGCTCAACTAGTCACCCACCTTTAGCTGAAGCCTACCGAATTTTCTCTTAACTCTCCACATACCCTCTGCAATCCTACGGTTTTCTTCAGCTCGCCTTTCCCGAGCCTTTGCGTTTCGTCGTAGTCGTTGGGATTCCTTTTTCCACTTTTGTGCCTCAGCTTTCCAGTCCGTAACCTCCCTTCGCCGTCTTTTCTCTTCTTTAGCGATGTCACTTCTCCACTTCTTTACATCCCTTATTTCCTTTCGTGCATTAGCCTCGGTTTGCTTTCTTCGTCTTTGTAACTGCCTTGCTGCTGATTTAACTTCCTTTCCGATTATTTTTCTCTTCTCCTTCCTGAGTAGTTCGTCGAAGTGGTTGTTAATTTTCTCCTATATTTTTAAGCCACTTTCTTGGGCCTTTTCCAGAACGTTAGTTCTCATACGTTCGATGGATGCGAACGATTTATACGGATGCCGGAAAATAGCTGGATTTGGGTTTAAAGTTCACATTGTTTTATTATATAGATAAACTTTTTTTACCTATGGTGTGATTTGGAAGTTGATTCTGTTTCCCAGATCCATAAGGTTTGGAAAAAAACAATGGGAACTACAAATCCGTGAGGTGTTTGGAGTTTTAGGACTTCCAAGGTCCAGTAATTTTATTATATAGGATTTTTATAAGTTGATTCTGTTTGTAAGGGCAGAGGATCCGCAATTGCGTCTCTTGGATTTAACAACCTCGCCAGGTCACTACCTGGCAACCTCAGCCGGTTTGACCTCGGAGGACTTCCTTTGCTGTGTCAGGTCCTAATAGGGTAACCCTTATTTCGTTCAACTTTTTTCCGTTATAACCTTCAGCAATAAGGGATTCGGCAGCGCCTAGGTCGATTACATCTCTTTTGTCCTTCATGTTTCTGATGTAACATGTACTGTGTGCAATGGTACGCCTAGCGTATTAGCGATAACTAGTATACCCTCCTCCCCTTCGTCGGGAAACATTACCTTACGTATTTCAGCGTTTTTTTCCCATCAACCCATTTCCGAACTTAAAGCCGAAACTTGTCAATCTATTGTCGTATTCGATTTCTATAATGAACATTATGTCTTTGTAGTTAACCCGCTTACACTTCCTTTCAACTTGAGGTACTTTTTCATGACAGTCGAAGACGAATCCGAATCTACGTTTTATTCTGGCTAATCGTTTCATGGTTACCCTACCTGTATGAATGTAAGACTTACAAATTTTTTTGATTCTGAATTTGAGGTCCTTTTGAGTAAGATTAAGGACCGATAGGAGCATCCTGAGATACTTTCAAGCAGAATTAAGGTTACTTAACTTTTACTTAGTTTATACTCAGGTTTACCTAGAATTTACTCAAAAATATTTTAAGATACTCTTGACTAGAACTAAGGTCATTTAACCTTTTCCCTATTAATAAAAAAACATGTCTGAAGAGAACCCAGGTGCGACTGCAGTTCCGGTAACGAATCCGGTAAAGACTCATGTCAAGGATCGTAGAAGGGTGGAGTCGGGGCGTAGGCTTGCTAGGATCAGTAAGGAGGCAAAAGCCAGGAAGAAGGAGCAACTCGAAGCTATTAAGGAGGAGGAACAGAGCATCCCGGATGTAGATAACAAAGGTGATGGGTCAGTAGTAACTTTGGACAGAGTTGGCTAGGTAGTAGGCATCGCCGTAGGGCTCGGATTCCTTTACTTCATGTGCCATAGTCGTCAGGAAAAGGACGAGAAGTCTAAGGAAAATAAGACTGTAGAGGACCCGGAACCCATTGTTATTACACCAAAAGGTCCAGACCTGTTTGACTGAGTATAATAAAACATGTCACAGTTATTCTTAGATATACTAACCTTCGCCGTAACAACCGGAGCTGTGCTGATTTACATCCACACACTTGAGGCGAAAGAAGCCAAACGCAAGACGTTAGAAACCGAACGCAAGGCGAGTGAAGACAGGATGCACGACGCCTTGGAAAGAAGATTCTCTTTCTTCGTTCACTGCAACCAGGTATATCAATCATGTTTCGCTCGCTACTCTGGTTTAAATAAATGATTACAAAGGCCAGTCGAATTGTAATCAAGACCCAACGTTTCGACACTCCAGTCTAGTGTCTTCATCAGGGGTGATCTAAAACTGCGATCGTGGCTTCTTAAATACCCAAGTGATGACGTCACCTGCCAAGAAGGTGCATATATTCCTCCGGCAAATAGGCACCGTCATCTCTATTCAAAGCATGATGACTTATATTTATATGCCACGCTTCTAGGCAAAGTCTTTGACCATAGCGATTGTTTGTGGTAATTACTTTAGAGTTCTCCCACGCAATCTCGTGTTTGGTGTAACATACATGTTCGGCTAAAGCTGATTTTCCCTTGTCTAAAGTTGAATCAGCCTTTTGATGTTCTTTTAGCCGTGTACCAAACTGGCGTTTAGACTGACCCAAACACTCTTTGTCGCAGTCACCGCATGGTATAGAATATATAGCATGAGTCTTCTGATTTGTTTCAACAGGATCTTTTGGCTTTGCGAAACTATGGCCTAAAGTCAAATAGAGTTTTAAGGCAACCTTAATATTACAATTACTTAAGATTCTCTTGATTGGTTCTGTGACACCTTGAATGTATGGACTATTGCAAAACCCTTAACAGAGGTATCACGCTCGGTGTTATTTTGGTTCCTACAAACGGTGGTCTCAGGCAATCATTAAGAAAACGCTTTGGGTAATTGTTTTCCCCTAAAACATTTAGAACATATTCACGTTCATTAGCTTGAGAATCACTGTTTGACGGCAACGATTCAGCTCTTTGAAGCAAAGTTTTTGCTACGGATCTTTTATGGCTTACTGGGTGATGAGAGTCGTATGACAAGTATTTTTCTGTGTGTGTGGGTTTGCGATAAACATCAGTCTCTAACTTCCCTTCGACAGTTCTGTGCGCATTCAAATCTAAAAGCTAAATGTCCATTTATCTCACGTTCTACCGTGAATTGGATGGACGGCTCAATAGAATTTAAAAGTTGCAGCAGAATGTCGATCTCATTTGTAGATCTCGACGAAACGTTTCCAAAACGATAGGGACACCGGAACAGAGGCTAAAGCTCTTTGTTCGACATCTTCCATTACTAAATTAGCAATTACTGCCGAAACTGGTGATCCCATCGCTGTTCCAAAAACCTGTTTATAATAACAGCCCCCAAGGACAGAGTATGTGGCGTTGAGACAAAAAGACAGAAGATCAATAATATCTTCTACAGGCAAGGATGATCTTTGTAACAAAGTGAAATCCTGTCTTAGTCTTTTTGCCGCAACCTTGATGGCAAGATCAACTGGGATATTTGTAAACAAGGAAACGACGTTTTACCTCTTAAAACTCTTAAAGCAGATCAAGTGTTGGTATCATTTGATGTCGTTTCCTTGTTTACAAATATATAGAGATTTTAGCTTTTTAGATTTGAATGTGCACAGAACTGTCGAAGGGAAGTTAGAGAATGATGTTTATCGCAAACACACACAACCAGTAAGCCATAAAAGATCCGTAGCAAAAACTTTGCTTCAAAGAGCTGAATTATTGCCGTCAAACAGTGATTCTCAAGCTAATGAACGTGAATATGTTCTAAATGTTTTAGGGGAAAACAATCACCCAAAGCGTTTCCTTAATGATTGCCTGAGGCCACCTGTTTGTAGGAACCAAAATAACTCCGAGGGTGATACCTCTGTTAAGGGTTTTCCAATAGTTCCATACATTCAAGGTGTCACGGAACCAATCAAGAGAATCTTAAGTAATTGTAATATTAAGGTTGCCTTGACTTTAGGCCATATTTTCGCAAAGCCAAAAGATCCTGTTGAAAAAAATCAGAAGACTCATGCTATATATTCTATACCAAACAATCGCTATGGTCAAAGACTTTGCCTAGAATCGTGGCATATAAATATGAGTCATCATGCTTTGAATAGGGATGACGGTGCCTATTTGCCAGAGGAATATATGCATCTTCTTGGCAGGTGACGTCATCCCTGGGGTATTTAAGAAGCCACGATCGCAGTTTTAGATCACCCCTGATGAAGACACTAGACTGGAGTCTCGAAACGTTGGGTCTGGATTACAATTCGACTGGGCTTTGTAGTCATTTATTTAAATCAGAGTAGCGAGCGAAACATGAAAGATTCTCTTTAATAGCGGAAAAGAAGCTGAAAGACTGGAACGTTTTATAGGAGAAATAGTTCTACTACAATAAAAACATAATGACAGACACGAAAAAGGAAGTGATCAACGAACTTTACGACGCCACATTACTAACAACCGGAGTTGTTGGGGTAGCCTACCTTGCCAAGACGGTTGCCGGAAAAAGCCTCGGTGTACCGATGGCTATGGAAGGAGCAGCAAAGCTTGCTGTTGCTGCGGCAGGAAGTGCATTTGCCATAGGATACCTGGAGTAATCGACAAATAAAGAATGACATCTGTAGTGGTTGGAGGACTCTTAAATGCTGTGGTTTTTGCTGGGGCAGGTTTTCTATTTTCCAAGTTGAATGCACAAGGATACAAAGAAGAGGTGAAAAGACCTAACCAAGCCTTGCGGAAGCTTGCGAAAGCTAAGGAGAAGTTTTATGAATCCGAGGTGAAGCGTAGGAATGACGAAGCCCGACGTCGGGCCGAGATATTGGATGCTAACAAGGACATTGAGGAAACAAGCAGAGCACTGGAGAATCATACGAGGCCTAAGGGATTATACGAGGCTTATGGATAGTAAGTGGAGGATTACTATCAACCGTCAGACGAATTGAAAAAATATGCAGTGTTGACGATGGGTATCCTAGGGGTCGGTGGTGCTTACGGATTGACACGAATATTTTAAATCTTACAGATAGATTTAAAAAATTTACGTTGTCATGAGGGAGCAATTTATGGTTGTAGTCCTTGTTCTATTGGTTACATTTCCGGCAGAGTCTATGTCCTTGGATTCCATAAAGAAAACTTTTATCGTAGTATCAGTAACCTCGAATAGGAATGATACCTGTATGATTCTGCTTCTCTGATCGCGGGTCCATAGAACGACGGTTCCCACACTTCCAGTATGAAATCCATATAAGGGCGAATGGGTTCCGCTATTTTTCCATCACTGACACTGAACCTTACGAACTTTGCATTCTGCCTGTAGCTGGCGGATATGCTTGGCGTTGGTAGATTACCGGGTGGGTACCCAGGTATTTGAGTAAAATCGTACTGTACTGAATTTTTCCCGAGACTTTTCAACCTTACGATGTCATTCGCATGTTTGACAACCTCTGCCGTGTTTCCCTGCTGTGCCTTTTCTACTGTTATCAATTTTTGTTTTAAGGTGTTCAGGTCTTCTGTTGTTGTGTCAAAGTAATCGTACCCGCATAAGATGCTCATTTTATTTAACGTTTAAATACTATGTACGCAAGCCCGAAGGATGCTACTGCCGCTGTGCCAAGAGCAATATTTTGAGTATCAGACTTCTGCCTTAGTTCTGGGGGTTTAATATAAAGTCCTCCACGGTTGGGGCTGGTGTAATGTCATGGCTTTCGTCTATATTATTCGTAGGGGTAGGAACAGGATTACTAGCATAATTTACCTTCTCATTTTTCCCAAACATCATCCCATTCTTAGCTACCGTTAGAACATTGCTAAATCCTGGAATACGTTTTGTTAAAATCCTCAAGTCTGAAGGAATTAGGATTAGACCCGGCAAGATAGCGAAATTTAGGACAACATGTGTGCTTGCGATAGCTGTTCTCATGTTGGAGATGGTAACTGTCACATCATCCTGTACGATAGTATCCCTTGCTACCTTTCGAAAAACCTCCTGTGTCTGCAGGCTCTTTGCACCCTGACCCGCAATACTCCATCGGGTTTTGGTCTGTGCCTCCAGAACAGGTACACAAATGCTTCGATCGATTGCTGGAATAGCTTTTGTCCAACTTTGGTAAGTCCTTGGGATGTTTTGAGAATAATGGTTTTATAGTCATTTTCAACATCGAAGGATAACCTACCAGTCAGGTATTCATACTCGATAGATGAACCTCCATATTTAGGCAAATGGTACTTTTGGCGACATATTCTCCTCTGTTCACTGACAGGCTTGTCGTAGTACCATGTCCCAAGGTTGCATGGGAAGAATCCGACCTTTTCTCCCATGTTTCACGTATGGGTGTATACTTCCTAATGGTCCATATATCATCCCTTGTAAGATATTGGTCCAAGAGTTTGGGGTTACGCATGAACCTCGATAGGTGAAAATGAAGGTGAAAGCGTACGATGGAGGTTACTATGTTGGAGTGTGAGTTGGGAAAGCTGTTCGTAAGGTGATCCTCAGAAATTCTGGACTCAAACATAGCAACATAGCATGCTGCTAGGGACCAAAAATTAGGAATTGGAAAGGTAGTCGAATGGTATAGTGTTGATGAAGGTATCCTTAGACTTATCGTATGCTGGCTTAATGGGTTCTAATTTCCTTAGAAATCTCTCGGTCTCCGTAACGTAGATCTTAAAAGTATGCACATCCATTTTAAAATCCCTGTTCGGACGAAAAATTGCATCCGGAAGAACACTTCGCCACCCCTCTACCCAGTGAATGTACTTGGTCCACTCCGGATTTGTACGAAAGGTATCGGATGTGATATCATAGCTTGTGAGGTCATCCTCCTTATAGAAGATGTCTCTGGACTCTACGGTCCCGTCCTTGGCAAAGGTAACCTCAAAGTCAAACTTAGATAGGGTTGCATTGGGATATTTCCTCCTAAAATTATCTTTCATTTTCCGGATTTCGACGGGTGTTGCCGCCTTAATTAACCTTCTCGTAATTCTTTCCGTAGTAGTTTCGGAAGATATCCTCACTCATTCTTTTATTTGATGTAAAATTCTAACAGGACATCTCTGGGAACATTTGCGGTATTAGATCAAATTTCAAACCGAATTTCACTGTATTTACCAGCATCCACCCGTACTTGGCTTTCGATGTCGTTGTATTTGGTTGTGGTTCCAAAGAGAGATCTGGTTCCATCAATTGGAAGGGAAGTGATGACGGTGCTCCGATTTCCGTACGGTCCAATGTTATGCTCGCGGTTCACAAGGTTACAGCTGACTGTGAGGTATTGCAAGCCTTCATGGATGTCTACGGGATGATCGCTGATGTGTGGGGTGTATGTGGGACCATTGGAGGATCGGTATCCCAAAATACTCGTGAGATTTTGAACTCCCGCAGAATTTGTTCCCTTAGCAAAGTCAATCCTTATTTTCCCATTGGGATATTCCTCAAGTGTCAATCCGTTTTCCTCCAACTCTTTCCTAAGCTGTTTAAAGGTCCAGTACCCTTCTTCCCATCTACGGAAATGTAGTCATTGTATCCCTTGCGAATGTTCTTATAATTCCGAAACACAGCAGCAGTCTTCACGAAAAGTTCAGATTCGGGGGTGGGGACCAGTGGGTCCTGTAAATCCAAGGTAACCCCTCCTCCTCCAATGTGGGTCGTTATCTTCTTCATGTTTTATTTACAGGTAATAAAATGAGTCTGGCACTGGATGTAGCTCTTCGAGAAATATATTTTAACGTTAATGGTGGGTACATGTCGATGGAAAAATTATACCAAATTGCAAAGGAGGAGGGTATAAAGGGAGTCAGTCGGAAAAATGTTTAGGAATGGTTACCAACACAAAACACCTACATTATTCATAAACCATCCCGAAAACATTACAAAACCCAAAGGACCTATGTGGACGGGCTTGCGCAACAGATCCAAATAGATCTTGTGGATATGAGTAAGTTCAGTCATGAGATTAAGGGGAACCGCTGGATTCTAACTGTCATAGAGGTTCTGAGTCTGTATGCCTTTGCCATTCCCGTATGGAGGAAAAATACTGAAAGCATGACGAAGGCTGTTGGAAATATTCTCATACAATTTAAGGAAAGGTTCGGTAGGTATCCTAAAACGGCTCAATTCGACGATGGAAAGGAATTTTACAATGTAAACTAAGAAAAGAAGTAAAATCCAAGCTGAGAGAAGCCGAAAGGGAATATGTACGGAAAGAACTAGAGCACAGTCACAACACTAATTCAAAGTGGAAGATAATTAAGAATTGTATTCCTCGTAAAGAAAGCACTCAACAAGTCTACACAAAGGATATGAAAGAAGTTGCTAATGAGTTTAATCAGTTTTTCACCTCAGTTGGTAGGAGAGTATCAGAAGATTGCAGATATTTAATAAAATTATATAACCTGCCTGCACCTCCAACAAGTGTTTCGCTGGCTGTCGCTGAGTCACAAAATTTTAGTTTTGTTCCTGTCTCGTGTGGAGAAGTACGAAGGACAGTTATGGCATTCCAATCGAACAAAGCTCCTGCCCATGACAAAGTACGAATGTCTACGATAAAGGATGCACTTCCATGTATTCTCCCAGTTATTACTGACATGATAAATCGCTCGTTACAGACTTCAGTCTTTCCATCAGCCTGGAAAATATCAGAAGTAATACCAATTCTTAAAGAGGGAGATCACGAAGTGGCAAATAACAATCGACCACTATCGTTACTACCAGCGACTTCTAAAATTTGTGAACGAGTAGCTTTAAATCAATTGACCTCTTATACGAACAAAAAGAAATGCCTAAGTAAACATCAAAGTGGTAATAAACAACTACATTCATGTGAGACTCTTGGCGTGTTTATGACAGACAAGGTGTTTAAAGCTATGGACTCAAAAGAACTCACAGTCATAGTATTGCTGGATTTGTCAAAAGTGTTTGACAGTATAGATCATCGCAAACTCTTAACAAAGCTAAAAGCATTAGGCCTAAGCCTTGGCGCTTTAGAATGGTTCAAAAGTTACTTGACCGGAAGGATGCAGCAGGTGAAGATTGGCTCAGTTGTGTCAGAACCAGGTCATATCACTCATGGTGTACCGCAAGGTTCGATATTAGGACCTGCTTTGTTCAATATATATTTGAATGATTTGCCCACCATCCCGAATTTCAGTGACTTAGAATCGTACGTAGATGATTCAAAATTGTATCTTTCGTTTCCCATCAAGTATGTTAATGAAGTTATGCGGAATATCAATGAACACCTGTCAAAAATCAGAGCATGGTGCGGTCACAATAGTCTACTAATTAATCCAGGCAAGACCAAAGTGTTAGTACTAGGAACACACAAAATGTTGCAACGATTACCGGATGACTTTTATGTGACATTACTTGAGAAAAGGATTACTCCCACTATTTCAGCACGCAATCTTGGGATTCAACTTGATTCAACACTAAGTTTTACGAACATATAGCAAACACTGTTTCTACTTGTATTGCGAGCTTATGTCAGATAAACAGGGTTAAACATCTTTTTGACCCTAGGATTTTGGAAAATGTCATCTCGTCCCTAGTATTTTCCAAATTGTATTATTGCTCAAACGTATGGTCCAGTACGACCAAGAAGAACATAGAAAAATTACAAAAAGTGCAAATCTTCGCGGCGAGAATAATCACAGGAACACAAAAATATGAGCATATTACTCCAATACTCAAACAACTGAATTGGCTACCTATCCCAGACATGTTAAAATACTTTGTTGGCGTTCTAACGTTCAAATGTTTCAATGGACTAGCCCCTGACTATCTCGATTCATATTTTCAGGAGAGATTATCTTTACACGATAGAAACACCAGAAATAAACAAAAACTAAACATTCCAGCTTATAGATCGGCGGCCGGACAACGAACATTTGAATACCGAGCAGTATTCCGGTGCAACTCTCTACCTAGTAACATTACTGTACATGACAATTGTAAAGACTTTAAATGTAATTTTTTAACTATCTGCTTGAACTTTTCCTTTTAAAATCTTAATGAACTTACATGTATCTAATTTTAACGATTTTAAACTGTAAATATACAATAGAATAATTTAGATATAATTTACATGTATATTAATCTGAAAAACCAAATGTTCTAATAGCAATAGTCATCATTTTCTTAACGCAGTACATTTGGTGGTTTTTGTCAAGACCAATACTTTCTAACATGTCTAAAAATGTAGAACATTCTTCTGCAAAAATACCTAAAGAGCTGATGGAGAGATTTATAAATTTAACTTGGTTAAAATTTTTACCTAGTTGTCTCAATAATTCTCTATATTTAATCCTTCTTCCGTTTTACGTTGTTCTTGAGGTTTGTCTCATAACCAGTGGTGAGTTCGACCACATATAAGAAACCATTTGAGCACGATAATAACAAATCTGGGCGATACGTATCACCAGTAAGTATTGAAGAGCTTTTGAATCCATTTAGATCAGCGTAGAGAGTAGAACCGTCAACAGTTTGTAACTGATGAGCAAGAAAGTTCAGGACTGAATTGTGTCTCCACGTAAATCGGTCGAGATAAAACTGACATCCAGCTACTATGTGTAGTAATGTTTCAGGGCTAAGACAAAAAGAACAGTCTGAATTTGAAGATATTGCCCATCTGTTTACGTTTTTGCGCGTCGGAAGAGAGTTGTTAATGTAACGAATGGTAAAGTTGTAAATGTTTTTCGGGAGCTTTGATTGGGCGACGGACCACACCTTGCTAAGCTGAAGTAAAACGAACTTCGTGACGCTGCAGAAAAAGGATCCTTGACTGGTTAATTGGTTTAGGAGTTTGTTTTCGTGTCCAGAACGGAAATCTTTGAGAACTTCCTTAGTAGAGTTATAAGCGTCATATTGGATATTAGTATGGTTACTGGTTGCTCTCCACAGGTCGTTAGTTGATTCATTAGAAGAATATTTTAAAGCTTTTCGGAGGACTGTTTGACACTGGATAAATTTTACAGATGGATGATAAATACTCAGGCCAAATTTGTTATTTGTTAGAAAGACAGTACTTAGTGTTCCTGATATTGGTACTTCAAGCCATCTGCGGATATATTTGTTGGCAATAGAGTCGATATTTTCAGTAACCCATGTTTTAGAGAGTGTTCCGACGGTGAAGTGCCAGGCTAACTTGGACAAGACGTAGCGACTGTAGAGGAGCAGTTTATTTTTGGGGTGTAGTGGCTTTCAGTCAATATCAGACATTAGTTCATTAAGTAGGGTGGTTAGTTCAGTTTTGTGATTATCATTCGACATGTGGAAATCAAAGTAACGTCCTAAATATTGAAATGATTCTCCAATTGTGGTTTTTGGTATTAGTTGATTGCTGATGAGGAGTTTTGGCAAGTACTGAACTGATTTTGTGATCGCTTTTTTAATGCCAAAGGTACTGCATTTGTCAACTCGGATAATCATATCGGACCATTGGCACCAGATTATAGAAAATCGATTTAATAGATGTTGGTTTTCGGATTCTTGGCTAGTAATTACAGCCGCGTCTTCAGCAAACTGGAACCAATGGATGGGATTTAGTAATTTGAAGGAAAACCCAAATTGACGGTACTTTTCAGCCTTGATATGCTGAATGAATGTATTGAAGCACATGTTAAAAAGAAGAGGACTGAGGCAATCTCCTTGCAATACGCCACGGCCAACTGTCATAAAAGGAGTGCGGAATTCAGAGGTAATTATCGAGGTTTGGAAATCAGTATATAAACTTTTTATAACAAATTTTATATGATCAGGGATATGGTGGTAGTCAAGTATGGATTGAATGAGGTTGTGATGGATTTCGCCGAAGGCATTCTTAAGATCAAGTAGGGTGATGACAACAGAGCGTTGTCTGATCCGAGCTTTATTAATAATGTCAGCCATTTGCGCAGTATGTTCTAGAGTGCCAGATGGGTTGGGGGTGAAGCCTTTTTGTATGTTGTGTTCGACGAAGTTATTAGATGCGAGGAAGGAGTATACTGCGTTTCGGAGACAAGATGTAAATACTTTTAAAGGTATGGATTCGAGTGTTATGGGGCGGAAATTTGAAGGGTCATTATTGTTGCCTTTCTTGTGGATTAGTATGGTACATGCTCTTTTCCACTCAGTTGGGACAGTTCCAGATAGCCAAATATCGTGAATTAGCTCAGTAAGGTAAGTTCTCAGATAAGGACAATGCTTGAAACTTATTATAGAAAGTTGATCAAGAGGGCAAGGAGAGCCAGACGATTTCATTTTGCGTATAACATTTGTAATTTGTTGTTAGGTTGGGGGGTCAAGGTTAAATTGAACTACAGGATCAGATAACTTTGGGATCCAGCTGGGAATTACAAATAGCTTGTTAGGATTAATTTTAGCCAGAGATTTAGAGAAATAAGAAAGGCAATCAGTCATGTTAAATGATGGTAATACTGCGTCTTTTCTATTGATTATATTTTTAACATAGCCCCAAAAGCTTCGTTCCAGATATTTGTTGTGATTAAACGACTCACTGTCATTTAAGTAATCGGCATCGTTGCCATTGTTACGGAGCCTGTCACGCAATGTACGCGATACGTATTTAATTTCACTGAGTTCACCCTTTTTGGATTTTAAATTTTGTAAAGCTTTCTTTAACTCTTTAACCGTATACTCTTTATATTTAGCTCCCATATTTTTGTCGGGTACAGTTTCAGTATGTCCATAATTATTTGCAAAGTAGCTGTATATCGCGTCATTTAAAAGCTTGATTTTTGAATTTAGATCTTGCAATGTGATTGGATCACTTGGCTGGAGTGCACATTTAAAATAATCATTAGCCGTTGACCATTCAGAATCATTTTTCGGGAGATTTATGCCTTTCTTCAGTTCAGGAAAATTATCGTAATTAACTGTATTAATATCATTGCCGTTGTGTTCAATTTCTGAAATATTTACGCTGTTATCCGTAGTTATTTGCTCCTCAAGATCTGCACAAAGCTCGTCGTTAAGGCCATGTATCACTTGACAACTGCGCTGATGCATTTTAAGGCCGCGCGTCCCTTTGCATATCTTGCCACAACAACATTTGACAACCGTGCGACTTGACACAGGAACATTAGGGGACTGCATTACAGGCACTTGTCTTGTAGTAGCGTCAGGGGGATCTCGTTCTGCTTGGTTAATCCGCTGTTTACAACGCCACGAATGGCGACCGAGCGCGACGAAGTCTTCATCACAAAACGAACAGACGACGCAAGTCAATAACATGGCAACAAAACTTGAACGAATCATGATGATGATCTTTTTATGATTATAAATTTTAACAATTAGTAAGAAATACTGTGATTCAAATACAAAACCAGCGATAAAACTATGACATGTATAGAGCACGTCTGAACACGGCTCTGCTCGATGTATCTAATAAAAAAGAAAATCAAATAATAATAATAATAATAATAATAATAATAATAATAATAATAATAATAATAATAATAATAATAATAATAATAATACAACTTTATTCATCATTTCATTATATACAATAATTCTTTTGTTATCAATGACTATATTAAATAATCTGTTCTTTGGGTATAATTAAAAAAGTGTCTAAATGTTTG